CCCCAGCAGAACAATTGAGAAACATTGGTAGGTTCGTATCACAACCCGGTCTTGGTAGGTGTTTTACTGCAATTGAAGGAAATTCTCGTCTAATTACCTTTTAGATTACCACTTATGTGTTTGAATAAATGAACACTTGATAGAGAACATGTCAATGAAAACACAAATACGATTACGACAACATTTGAAAAGCTTTCCCAAGCAAAGAAATAATATTACGCGTGAAATGTGTAGTTGGTTATGCGTGAACCCTTTTCCTTCAGCTAACTTCTCCACTGTAAAAGTCAAGAAATATAAATCATCACAAACCATATGTTCTAGTCTTTACCACAGTGAGCCTTTCTAAATAGTGGAGTTGAGGTTGAAAACATTTAGAGGCCTCCTTTCTCTTGTGGAAGGTTATGATTCTGTGTGCAATCAGTGAAATTCTTTTTCAATGCTGCTGAACCCTTGAAGTGGGTATTAACAGGAGGAATAGCGGTTCGATCAACTCAAAATTAACCTCAAACATAAAGACAGACGCTAGCTGCGGTTTTCGATTAAAACGCAACCAAGCGAACCAGCCACCTGTGAACCTCCCTTTCTAATGTTGGGTAATATTTCACATTACATGGAGTACGAACAAAGATCATGAATAATTTCGCAAAGTTCGCAGTTCATAATATTGTACAACCGTAGCCGATCCCTCTGCCACGACAAAGATGAACTCACTATACCTTCGATGCCATTCTCGTCTTCCCCATTCAACATCGAGTCTTCTACACCTTCAACTTTCCTCCGCTTCATTTTTTGACTCGGTCACCTTAAGACGCGCTTATGAAAAGAATCTTGCCAATTTTGTTAAGCAACATCAGACAATTCCTGGGCATACACCAATAGTTCATCACATCATTCGGAAGAATATTTAATATTTTTATGCAAATATGAAAGCTAACGGTTAAACCGTAACTACAACATCATTCTCGAAGAAAAGAACACATCAAAACAGGAACCACATCAAGCACAGCCGTTCAGTCAACGGTAAGCACATGAACCAAAAATATATGTATATCTATTACCATTAATATTATAGGATAGTTTCTTAAAACTACAGGTAAATGGTCCTTTTTCAGCATCGATGCAAAAGTCCCGAAATACTATACAAGCTACATGCTAAGCTATTACATAAAAGAAGTAATATTCACAGGAAGGCAATGTAAAGCAAAAACAATCGTATACAGGGCACAATTAGAACTCTACTTGAGACCAGAAATCCTCCGAAGAGGTTGAAGTGGTTTGCATGGAATCTTGACTGACTTCGTTATCGTCCTCCTGCAACATCAAAAGCACGTCAATACAGAAAAAAGGTTGAACTTGTTAGACAAAAACACCAACCACAATTCCCTTAAAGGCGTTTTCCAAAGCCTCTGAGGTTGACGGTCGCATTTTGGTGGTCATGGACTCTTGAAGTGCCTGGAGAGGGCACAAAGGAGTACGGAGATTTTGATAAGCAACTCAGAGTCTCACTGAATGGAAGACTTTAAAAAGGGAGAAATTACAGGAAAATAAATTGAAAAGTTGCTTTCCATTTATTTCCTTGAAGATCTACTAAGGGAAAGATGTAATCTAAAGAAAAACTAACTTGGAACTCATGGAACGACCGACAAGATTGACTGCTTAATCGCAGGAGACTATTCAATCGGAGACTACTAACACCAGAACTCGATGAGCTGAAAAAACATTGATCTTACTTTAAAACCCACTATTTTTCTCATAATTTTCAGAACAATTGAGATGAGCTTCGCTTGAGGCAAGTAAAACAGTTCACCAATCAAGATATCAAAACTACCTGCACGCTGCTGGGAATCGCAATATTGCATGTGGCCAACATGGCGATGTGATGCTCGAAAGATTCTAGGTCATCGTCGCTGTCATCCTCGTCATCACTCTCGTCATCTGGCCCTATATGAATAGTGTATCAAGATTAGGAAACGTCACACAAACAAAAAGCGTTTAAGACCTCAAAAAAGACTAGTATGGCTCGTTTGGCTCCTTTTTTAGACAACGTTAACCCGAAAATTAGCAATCAACAGAAAACCGAATACAAGGAACATCCAGGCCAAACAACAATATATTCCATCCCCAACCACCCTTTTCCTCCGCCCAACAAGATATTCTATTCATATTTTTATTGTCCTTGTCCTTTGTATCTTACAAAAACAGTACAGTGAACCTTACCTCTGAAGATGGGCTCAGTTTCAGACCAAAAGCTACAGAGATTGAGCAATTCATTCATCACCATAGCATCATCCTTACCTAGCTCGTCTTCACAACCACTGCAATAATATGGAAATGTTAACGAATAAATAAAAAAAATGAGTGATTTGAAGACTACTCCTTGACAGAATGACTACAAGTAGTTTACCGTATGTAAAAGTTGTAGTGGAACTACGATGGTCAGAAAGTATATGAACGTTTGGTAACCAAAGGAGGTACATCAAAAGGAATATTACTCAGTCAAGGAATCGTGGTAAGAATGTATACAGGGAGGTCGACGGACTACTTGAACTCGGCCCTTTAAGCTGCCTCACTCGACGCTTTCGTCTGCGCTCTCTCATCTTATCAGCGGCTGATCACCACTGCGATCTCACACATTCAAACTTTTGCCACAATGCAACTGGCTCACCCACCTCGGATTCCCTCCCCCTTACAAGGCTTAGTCCTAAGGCTCTCACCTCCCTCCTTGGGATTTGGAGCCGAGCCAGGCGCCATTCTCTGATCGTCTGTGCTCTCCGCCATTCGTGGCAGGACCATGGACGAAAGTGCAAGTAGTCCGTAAACCATACACGACACGGCAGTAATACGCTGCATACAGTCCATAATGTTAATTTTCCCACAAGCAATATAGCCACTAGCAAATAGGAGTACTCAAAACACTTACAATGCTCTAGCTAATGAGTTCCATGCCAAGCCTTTTTGCCTTAGGAATGTGGAAGTGGACATGGTACTTGGAACCACATCGAGAACCTCTAGCTCATCATTGAAGTGGACACCCTAAAATATTCAATTGTTTCAGAGGTAAAGGTGAACACTTGAATTGAAAATAACTAAGAAGCAGCAACAGTGAAAGTAACAAGTGTAAAACGAAGTCCGCAAGAAGAATAAATTCTTCATTCACTCACCACTTGATTAAAAGAGAACCACAAGGAAATACAATGTCTCATTTGGTAGCAAAAACGTTACAGACTTCCACCAAGCCGCGCCCCATAGAGATAAGATATTGTCGGACGGTTACGCAATTCTCCTGGCTGAGGTCATCCCCTTTTTCTATACGATATACGTAGGGCCTGGCGGAACCTCTACTTGTCTGGCCTCGAAATCCCTAATTGCTTATGTGTTGTGATTAGAATACTCAGAAATGAGGAAGTAAGTCTTATCGGAGAACTTTGGAATCAAAAATGGTAGAGGTCTATCCACCGCTAAGCCAAACATTGCTGACCGATTTCTCTAGAAGACCATTCCCGACAAATTCGCGGTAACTGCTAACCTAATCGCCATCCTTCCTTCCTATTAGCTTTGAGATTACGACGGGTCTCATCCAGCGAAGGAGCGTATGCTACGACACTTCATATCCATTAAAGTATTGGAGTTTCTATTGGAGTCTCAAATTGGAGTTTCTGTATACAGCAGCAAATGACGTACCACACCCTCCCCCCCCCTACTGGATGGGTCTCAGGACTTCTGTCAACCGTGAGGCTTGGCGGTTCAGCGTTTTGTAGTGATGTCTGGGAGCTCTCACAAGTGCACACTATCACAGCATCTCTTTCTTTATCTTCTTCAAAAGGCTTAGTCCCAATAAGACACAAAGTGTGTGCTTTTCCAGCTACGCTCTCACCCTTTGGTTAAAGGCAAACCGGGCTCAGACCCACTTAAGTGAGCCTTTACTGTGGCTAGAAGCGCTAGGTACGCAAGTGCAGAGGTCGCGTCACTTCCCTACTTCGAAAAGCGTTACTTAGACGCTAGGCGCTAAGAACTTTGACACGCTCCACCTTGCGACACGCTCCGCCCACCGCTCGATATCTTGTCTGCGTCTGATCTGCTATGCTCTCTCTCTACTCGTACTTCTCTAGCGCTCTCCGCGCTCACATTATCTCTCATCTCCCTGCCGGCCT